ATTTTGAGAACGGTAAACCATCTATAAATGGGCCATCTATACCATGGCTATGTTAAATAACCAGAGGGTATATGTAACAGATATGGGTGTTGAATCATTGAAATCACCCTGCCAAATGACTGTCCCGTCATGTCATCCTTATGAGCATCGGTCAAATATCCCAGTCTCTGATTGATCACGCGCATCATTAACCTTCATTAATATCATAATCAACTGTGAACAAGTATCAAGAAACATCTAAGCGGAGATAATGAATTACAACAATTCACTACCCTGACAAGGATCCTGACAAGGTCCAGGCTATTTTTGGGATAGTTATTCCAATCACTTCCCAGTACGAAAGTCATCAAATAGGAACAGATATCAAATTTACACTATGTTAATATGCACCACAAGTTATTGTACAAACATTAAAGCAAGCACCAAGAATTCTTTGATAATGATATACATATATGATTATCATATATATATATAGATAAGGATAGATAGATAATGATAGATAATGATAGATTTTGATAGATAATGATAGATAATGATAGATAATGATAGATAATGATAGATAATGATAGATAATGACAGATACATAATGACAGATACATAATGACAGATACATAATGACAGATACATAATGATAGATAGATAATGATAGAAAGATAATGATAGATAGATAATGACAGATAGATAATGACAGATACATAATGACAGATACATAATGACAGATACATAATGATAGATAGATAATGATAGATAGATAATGTTAGATAGATAGTGATAGAGTGATAGATAGATAGATAGATAGATAGATAATTAGATAGATTAGATAGATTAGATAGATAGATAGATAGATAGATAGATAGATAAGATAAGGTAAGGTAAGGTAAGATAAGATAAGGTAAGGTAAGGTAAGGTAAGGTAAGATAAGATAAGATAAGATAGATGGGATAGGATAGGATAGGATAGGATAGGATAGGATAGGATAGGATAGATAGATAGATAGGTAGATAGATAGATAGATGGGTAGATAGATAGGATAGGATAGGATAGGATAGGATAGGATAGGATAGGATAGGATAGGATAGGATAGGATAGGATAGGAAGGATAGGATAGGATCGGATCGGAAAGGATAGGATAAGATAAGATTAGATAAGATAAGATTAGATAAGTTTAGATAAGATTAGATAAGATAAGATCAGATAAGATAAGATGAGATGAGATGAGATAAGATAGATAGATAGATAGATAATTAGATAATTAGATAATTAGATAATTAGATAATTAAATAATTAAATAATTAAATAATTAAATAATTGGATAAGATAATTAGATAATCAGATAGATGAATAGATTAGACTAGATTAGATTAGATTTAGATTAGATTAGATATATATATATATAGTTGTATTGTATATCCACAGACATCTACAGTATATCACCAACTGCCAGGCCCCCAGGGCCCCCAGGGTCTCCAGGGTCCCATACCACGCGTGGCCGCAGCCGCCAGGGTTCCACCGTGCGGCCGTTCACCCGCAGCTCTCCATCGATGTGGAAGACCCGCGATGTGAGTTGTCTGGCGAAATCCATGGAAAATCCATGGAAAATTCATGGGAAATCCCGAAATCCATGGAAAATTCATGGGAAATTCCGAAGAAATGTTCGAGAAATCCCGAAGTGATGCAAGAAAACTGCTGGAATGGGGCGGAGATCATGGGAAGATGGGAAGATGAATATCACTAAACATTGGAAAATCCCTAGAATCCACTGGGAAATCCAAAAAAAAATTGGAATGTCACCCTTAACGTCACTGGGAAATTCTCTGGAAAGATTAAGTGAACAAAAAGGGAAAAAATCCTGGCAAATGGTGATTTCACCGGAAAAAAACATGGAAAAATCCTATGGGAAGATTCAATGATCATCCAGGAGCTCGAATGTTAAGACCTAAGACCTACCCCTCCGGGTGTCATCAAAATCATCAAACATGGCGATTCCTGGGAAAATCCCTGAACTAAATGGAGGTTTATACCATTTTATAGCTGTGAAATCATCTATAAGCTGTGGATGTTCCATTGCCATGTTTGATGACACCCGGAGGCTATGGACCATCAAGAGATCAGATTTTGTGACTGAACATGACTTCACCAGCCAAAAATTGAGGAAAGTTGAAGCGTCAAGAAGTTGGGAGTTTCACAACTTCTGAAACCTTGCTGTTTTTTGGGGTGCTCAACCATCAAAAGTGAGGGGGTTTTATGGAATTTCCAGCTTCAAAAAGTTGAAGGATCACACTTGCACCATCGGGAGAGTTCACCCATGCAGGAAAGTGGGGAGTTCACCATCGAAAAATGAGACTCTGGCCAGCAAAAAGGAGACTTGGCCACGAAGAAAGGCAGTAACTCAATGTAACTCAGTACTGTGCTGATCAAGTTGAACTCCCATAATTTTGATGTCTTTTTTTCACCACAGTTCAGCATCCAAGACCGCCCACCGCCTACCAGCCAAGACATTCAGCAAGGTGCTCTTGCCTTTGGCCGAGACGCAAACTGTGAATCTAAACATCATATGCAACCAAAAATTGGAGCTTGACATAGTTTAACCTCAACAAATTGGGATTGTAACGGCAAAACCATGCAAAGCCAAGGCAGCCAAGGTTTTGGGGAAAGAAGACTTGCTTTCAGTGGCTTCCGGCTGGCTGGATATCGTTCTTTTGGTCAACCCGATAAACCACATTTTTTAAGTAACTTAGTCTTACCAATCGGGAGGTTCATTGACCTTGGACAATTGTTGTGTGCATCACACTCGTTGGAGAGTTGTTCAATTCCAGGTTTCGTAAACTCAATAAATGAATTGAAAGCCCCCAAGAGACCACAAAAGAAACAGCAAAACATCGGCAAAGCAAGGCACAAAGCGGCTATACTCCAAGTGCCGAAAAGAAAAGAAAGAAGAAAAAAAGGGCAAGCGTTCTTATCTGGTTGGTGGTGCAATAACCATCTTCAAAAATGATGGAGTTCGTCAATGGGGTTGGGATGACATCCCATATATGGAAACTAAAATTCTTGTTCCAAACCACCAACCAGTCATTAATATCCATTAATCACCATTAATCACCATTTCCATATGGTTTTTCTAGGGGATTTTCCTAACAATCAACTTTGGACATTCCAGAGTTCAACGGGACGAGGCCTGCCCCTGAGCCACCCAGGATGCAACAAACCTGGCTGGGTCAGAATGTATCGAAGATGTCAAGGGATGTTTTTCCATGGCGATTCGTTCGATTCGTTCGATTCATCGAGGGTACTAGGTACTTGACTCGAATTGACCCTGTGGTTTCCACTTTCAGACGTGTCAAGTGCATGTACCCCTCCGATCTCCAGCTGCGCATTTGCACATGTCAACGTCCACACTTTGGTACATTGGTTGGTGGATCTAAATGAGAGGTGTCAAATAGTAAGCAAACCTGAGCTCCATCCACCAATATCACTCGTATGACTCATATCACCCTGTACTTTCTATTCATACATATGTATGTATCATGATATATAATATTGACTCATGTCAATTCATTATGTATATATATATCACTCATACAGTTGATACCAATATGTATTCTGACTCATATGATTGGCATAGACATAGATCTAATATATACAACCATCAATTCATATCACTCACATGGATATGGATCAAAATGAGGTACCCCAAGAAATTATCGTGAATCACATGGTTGATACATATCACATGGTTGATACATGTCACATGGGTCCTGTGGTCGCTGGTTCTGTCGGGTCTGAAATTTTGATCCATACCCTCTGGTAATGACTAACAGATCAACTATTGAAAATGGCCACAGAAATAGTTGATGACTACCATAGGGTATAGTTATGTCGTTTTTTGTTTACCATAACTATGATTCATAGTTGGATAACTATGAAATAGACTATAGTTGAAATGCTGAACTTTTTGTCCAATAGTTTAAGGGTTTTTCACGTTTTACCAGAGGCTACCTACATCTTTTAGGATACGCCCGGCACCACTGAACTGACGCCGCGTCTCTTTCTGCGTCTCGCTGCGTCTCGCTCCTTTTCTTGGAAACCACCGATCGGGTGTCCGCAGATCGCGCGCTGCCTGGCCAGGCTGATACGATAACCACATTATGGGATATTCCCCATATATAACATGCAGTGTGTGACAAAATGTAACCACATTATTTATTTAATGATATATATATATATATTATATATATTATATATATAATTAGACATTGCATATGTTTTTTTAAAAAAAAATCTGTGTGTGCATATTATAGATCTGTGTATGTGTGCATATGATAGATTGTATACAGTACAAAATCATATCGCTTGGAATGTGTTTTGAACTATCTCGCTCTTAGATCCAATCCACCGGGGCATGTTCGCGAAACCACGGTGGATGCAGGAAATCAAACCACGGTCCATTGGGACTGTGCAATGGGGCTGTTGAATATGAATGGGGGATGGAAATGATGGAATTATATGGAATTATATGGAATTATATGGAATTATTCCAATGGATGATCATGGATGGTTGGTCCCACTATTCCCATTCCATGGATTGCAACACCATGTTGTACCCAGCATTGGGCCCGTCCTGTGATATCTTGCCCTTCATGACAAGACATGGATGGTTTCACTTGTTTCACTTCCCCTCATCGACCAACTACATTTATCCAAACTTGGGGGACATCCACAGTAAAACTTTCACAAAGACCAACATCCGACCATCTGGAGAATGACAAGCCAAAATTCTCTAAGCTCGAGCGAGCTCGTTGGGCCAACCTTGGAGCTTTCCGTGGAATGTCATGGGGGTACGGTACCAAAATTGCGTTGGTTTAGAATCGAAAATCCTATTTTAGCAACCAAAAATCCAAAATTTTAAAGTGTCATGGGGGTATGGTACCAAAAATCCTCTATTTGTTCAATACCTAGAGCTACCCCCAATGACTTCGGACACCGGGGATAGTGCTATCGCCTCAGGGCGCGGCTTGCGCAGCTTGTGCCCGCCCCAGCCTGCACAGCTTGTGGTCCCGGGTTTTGCATAGGGATTCCCATGGGTTGTCATCCAATGTCCATGGATTATGACCATCCATGAAATCCCACCATATATTTGGATAGTATAACAGTATAACAGCGTAATCATGTTTAATCCCTATAATTATTATACGATGTTGAGATAATAAGATATAATAAGTATGATAATCCTGAAGATATTTGGTAGTACAATCCTCAAACTCAAAGCACCAGTGGTTTTGAACAGTGCTCCTCTGAACAAATCTTCAACAGGGACCATCCCATGGCCATCCGCTGCTAGGCTTCGCTGGTGAAGGGCCGCTTGGTAAGGTAACAGCGCTGACCATGCACAGCGACTCATACTCCCAAAAAAAAAGAACTGCAGAACGATCCGTTGCGGGTCGTTCGTTCAGATTTGTTATTCACTTAAGTCACGTTTCATTTATTCAAAACTCCAATGACTCATTTTACCCTAGATTAGTTGTGTACTATCACTACTACAGCATTGTTGGTCAATTAAAATATTCCATAAACAATCCCATCTCATGAAATACTAGTTGGTTCGTATCGATTCCCGTTATGGATTAGTTCACAATCCCCAATAACCCAGAAGTATATAGCACCCCCGAAAAAGATAGACCAATCCGAAATGGTGGTTTCCATGACTTTTCTATCTTTCTGGGGGTTCCTATAATCCACATTTCATGACCAATCAACGTTGTACCCTCTGGTAAACTAACATAACTATGGAAAATCACAATTTTTAATGGGAAAACTCACTATAGATTGCCATTTTCAATAGCTATGTTAGTTTACCAGAGGGTAACAATTGTATTGTGTTCATGGCTGGCTCGATTGACCAGAGCAACATCCCAATGTCCACCTCGACAACTGTGACCTGACGCAAGCTGGAGAAGGGAGGGACTTTCTTGTGGGATGCACATCAATCGGATTCTTGTTAGGTTTATTCTTAGACTATTCTTAGATATTGAATTTGGAATGCAACAGCACTTTCAGGCAGCCACATGAGGCGGGATGCGGTTCTTTTAAACCATGGTTTTTGAAACATGTCATTGGGCCCATTTTCGGGGCTTACTTCGAAAGGCCACAGAGATGGTGACCCTGTTTCAGACATTTTTTTTTGTCCAAATACATCCAATCACCAGAAAAGAAAGAAGTACTCCTCATAATTGTGGTATCTGCTCTTTAGAGATGGCTCTCATATAGTCAATGGAACCTCGGTAAAAAGAAATCGGTTTGGGGCCTGATGGGAAACCACATTTCTTGTCAAAAGTTTTGGGCTCCAACCCGGAAACACGTATTTCATATACCACAAACACCGCTCTTTTTCCCGCAATTCCCCTTTGAGTTCAGTAGCCACAAGCAGACAGCAATTGTTGGGATTTGACGCTTTTGCAGGTAGGTGAAAGTTTATGAGTTTATGATGGTACTGTATGTACTTGTGCAATCTTGTGCATGGATATCTCTTGAGAGACATGTCCATCAGCAATTACGATCTCCACTTCCCGCGTGGCAAAACTCACCAAGGGCATCCCAACCCTCGACGGCTCAGGCGCAGCAAAACCCTGCGGTTTGGGTATGGTCCACATGATAAGCCCAAAAGTGCGAACCATATCCCCTAAAATGAACTAAAATTGCCTCTGACGGCTTTCAACAGTTCATACAACCCCATTGAAACCATCATATCTCATTGAACTTTGGGTCAATAGGTAGCATGTTTTTTTTCGTGATTACAATACATAATATATCATAATATCATCTGATGATATACACAGTATACTCATTTACTGCTACAACAGGCACAGAATTCGCGTGTTTGGTTCCACCCATTGGACCGGAAAGTGACGCACCTCATGTTCTCTTTTGTCCGAAACTTCCAGTTGTGTAACATGATCAGCTCCTCCTAGCGACGGCTGCCCTTGGTGGAACCATGTGGAACCATGGGTTTAAGGGAAAATCTTACCCGGAAACCATGGTTTTTACCATCAAATATAGGGGTTTCCTGTAAATGTTCCCATCATCCAATTCCATGAGATGAGCATATCCATGGGTATCCTATAACAATCAACCCGATGGTAAGTTCCATGAAGTTTGTTTTGCCTCCTCATATTATGGGCATGGATGCCAGAGTCGCTACACGGCTTAAAATGCAGTTGGCGAATGTCCCAGTTGAAAATCACCCGACTAAATAGGGAATATTATCTCCCACAAATATGGCTGAAAGTGATGTTCAAAATACAGTACCGCAGGACATTTACAACCCCCGGAACAGGATGTTTCATACTACGACCCAACAAAAGATCCTTGAAATTCCCATAATGGGCCAGCACAAAATCCCCAATGAACCAACTAGTAGTTGGTACAACCCCTAAAAAATCTATAAGTTCTGGAAGTATTAATATGTTTATTGGTTAATACAATTAGTACTAATATAGAATGAGTAACAACAAGTTGTCTTAGTACAACACCCATCATTGGTGTAATCAGGAATCATTCCAAACTCATCAAGCAGAGGTTTGGTCACTTCGAGTATGGAGATTGTTCAAAACTAAATCATCTGCGAAGTGTCCAATCGCCCGCCTTTCGCCGTCCTATCGTGCTCCTAAAAAATATCAATCGGGACAATGCGTGTTTTTTGTCGATCTTCGAGGTCGAATATATCACCCTCTGGTAATCAAACAGGTAATGACAATGGAAAATCCCTGTACAGGTTTGAATGGGAAAATCATCTATAGATGGAACATTTTCCAGCCAGGCATGGTTGATGACCGGAGGGTATGCCTATTCATCGTTTTCAGATTCGCATTGAAAAAAATGACTCCCATATATGCCATGGTCAAAAGATGGGATGAATGGTTTATGGTCATCCATCCCATACTGGGAATCCAAACTTATGAAAATGGATCCATGACATTCCCCCATAATAGGTATATACTCAATTATACTCAAAGGTTTGAGCATGGGCAAATATATAACTATGGGAACAGCAACGGAATATCAGATATCATAGAGATTTTAGTGGGATATACTGAGGATGTCCATGAGATCATAAGTCATAAGTAATAAACCCCTAGTTTACTATTGGGGGGTACGGTACCACTTAGAAAAGGAAATAATACTATTTTGGAAGCCCCTCCAGGACCCTCCAATATCACATATGCTCTCCTGCAGATCCCGGAATTCTTGGAGCGAATCTGGTTCTTTGTCAGCTCCGGCTGCGAATGTGGCTGGAAACATAGCAGGAGTCCAGGGTGGCAAGAGAAAATCAAGGTCTTTTCAGAAAACCATCGATGATAAATGGACATAAATTCCATATACAAATATACATGGATATGATATCCGCCGAATTGCTAGGTTTGAAAGCCAAAAGGCATCTTTAAAAAGATCGGATGGCAACCCACAAGGGCTGTTTGGTGAGCCACTCCG